GTATTTTCTAAAACCATTTGGTGGGTTGGGTTAAAGATTACCTGCAAGATATACATATAATGACTTTAACTGGTTCTGTTGATTTAAAAGAAAAATTAGAGGAAATATGTGTGATTTCAAATGTCAAATATACTGCTATTGAACATTTTATTAAACACCGCTGGCTGTCCATATATGATGTTACGTTGAGTAATTTACTCATGTTTGATTGTTTGACCATTTTTTATTATGGATTTTTAAATCAACATGACAGATTACTATATTTTAATATATGCTGCAGAAACAAAGAAATCTGAGCAATGAAAGCAGAGAATGTATTAAGGATATCCACAGGTATTTACATCAAAAGCATTTGACAAGTGATGGGAGGAAACGAAAAGAAAGAATAATTTCAAAATTATTTTATGACAGGAAAAAACTGCAATTAATTATGCATTTATATGTGTCTGTATTGCCATTATTAAAGAAGTATGTCAGTCTATTTCAAATGAAAGAGCCTTAAATACATAAATTGCAAGATGAGCAGAAGCAGCTATTTATTGATTTTTTAGCACTGTTTATTAAGTCAGAATTTCTCCAAAATAAATGTGTCTCAGAAATTTTGACTTTAGATATTGCAGTTGAATCTCATCTTTTATCCCCAAAGAATATGTATTTAGGAGCAGCTACAATTGCACTTATTTCAAAAAGATTTAGTCAAACATATGTTAAAGAATTTTTTAAAAATTCCACTGAAGCTTTCATCAGCTGTGCAAAATATCTGCAGAAGACTTTGCCATTGAACAACCCATTATTAAAAAGCATATCAGGAATTGATCCTACAGCCAGAGGTCACCATAGTACCTTACTTAAGTTAAAAAGATTGCCTGAATTAATCCAGAATGTTTTGACACAAGAAGACAAAAATTTCATATAATTTAGAAGTGCATAAATACCAAATTGATAAAAAATTAGCTTCACCATTAGATATAGATGGAAAAATAATGAGACTTGATGAGTGGTGGGCCAAAGTATTTGCAGATGGCAGTTATCCAGCTTTATCCAAAATGGTAAAAGCTATTTTGGATAAAGCTGGATAATTAATAAGTTGTTTCCATGGGCCACAAGTTGACAGTGCTTTTAGTTCTATGAGCAGTGTGTTAGACAAGGAGTGTGGCTGCATAAGTATAGACACATTGTCTGCTATACAAACAGTAAAATACAAATTTTTGAGTTGCAATAAGTCAACTCTGGAATTTTTTAAAAGGGATGACCACTTGCATTCTCCAGTAAACAAAACTCTATGCTCATAAACTGTACAAAGAAGAACTAGAGATAAAAAAAAGGAGGAGCAAAAAATCTAAAAAAAAAAAAAAAAAGAGCAATTAAACATTGCAGAAAATAAAGAAGAAAATGAAAAAGTATCAATGAATTGTATAAAAGGTGCTGAAAAGAAATTGAAACTACCTCACAAACGGAAATTAGAAAATGTGGCTGCAAAAGTAGCAAAAAAGAAAAAGCTTTTTCTCTAAAAATTTTTAATCAGGATCGAGTGAGACTGAGACAAAATGGTTATTTTTTATATTCCTCCTTTAACTATATGTTATTTTGTAACTACATTATCTCATATGACTACATTTTCTGGTGTTATATAAAGTACTGTTTATTGAACTAAATGTGAAGATATTTGAAAGCTATAGTAACAGTTATATATATATATTTATCTCTAAAACTTGTCATTGCCTGAAAATGGGCAGTTATATATAACATAAGTATGTATATTAGTGTGTTGTAATGTTATGTACAGTATTCATGTATCAACTGTTAAATTAAGTTACATAAAGAGCATCTTAAAGAAGGTTAATTCATTACAATCTCTTGGTGATTTACTGATTTTTTTTTTTTTTTTTACAAGTGGAAGATAAAATTAATAACAAAATAGTAAGTACAAGTATTATTTTAGTTTAATTATATGCATATGTTTAATACTTTTTATATTAAAAGGTTCATATTTTATTAGGTCGCGCATGTGCATTTAGTTTTTGTGTAATTTTGTGTCCGCACGTTGTTCAGCTTTTTTTGCCAACTTACACTTTCATGCCCGTACTTTAAAGTTTTAGTGAAAGATGATGTATCCATATTATTATATAAGGAAGCCTGCTTTAGATCATAAATGCTTCATTATTTCATAAATCATGATTACATGTTTTTAATTTTATAACTTCTATATGCCATCTTACTAGATTTAAACTGATGATCTAATATTCCAGAAAAATCCCAAGTCTGGACTCAATTAGATCCGGACAAGTCCGGATCTCGAACTTTGTACTGTATGTCTGTGCATTAATGTTCTAATGCAAAATTTAATTTTAATGAGAACATAAAGAGAATTCCATTTTCTCAATGGATTTTTTTGGTGTTATTAGAAAAGTAGTTTAGAAGTATATTTATAAAATAAATATTATGGAAAACTGTAAGAATATTCCTTTCTGGTGTAAACCTTTTGATTTTCTTCTAAAGATGTCATATTGATTTGTAGTAAAATAAAAGAGCTTAAGAATTAATTTAAAATTATTTATTAGTTTGTAAGGTTCATCCTAAGTTGCTAACAGTTATTTTTACTTAAAGCCACTGTCCTATTCAGCTTACAGTCTCCTTCCAGAATGTGTTTTCAGAATCACAGTTAAATGCAAATGAAGGAGGAGAAAGTATTTAACTTTGAAATTCTACTGACGTCATTAGAGAGCCAAAGATTCTGACCAGCTTGCTTTTGCCTTCTAGGCTACACTCTCTCTAAAGCTATTTTTATGCTTGGCCATACTTTAGGCCCTTGATAACTTCACCGTTTAGTTAGCGTTAAGGGGCCAACTCCTGTAGACCTTTTTAGTTAAGTTTAGTTAATATTTATTTCTTAATATTCCTGAGTTCAAGCCCAAGTGGAGGCTTTGCTGTAAGCTCTGAGAAGGAGTAATCTGTTAAATTTTTGTTTTAAGAAATAAAGTGTATTTAACCCTTCTTGAGTTCTGTTCTCTGTGTACTGTACTAAAGCAATTATTCACTTACCAGTTCTCAAGGTTCCACACATTTAGCTGTAAGTTATAGGCTAGAACATTACAAGTTGAATATAAATATCTGTCATTTATTTATGATTGTTCAGTGAAATTATTTTAAGGTACTTAACTCAAGCAATAAGTTTTTGAAGTTTAGAAAAATTATGTATTTTTCATATGCTTTTTGCTTAAGAAAGCTAGTTAACACTTATACGAAAAAAATATGTATATGCAAAAAATTATTTTAAAAAATTCAATGGTTAGAACCTTAAAAAGGCCTAGAATTTATTTTTATAAGTTAAATGTAAGTATCGTAAGTGATCTCAAGGCCATAGTCAGCACAGTTGGCGCAGCTGCACTGGGCGGCAGAATTGGGTGACAAAATTTTAGAATTAAGAGGAGCACCAAACACCAAAATTTAGGGATGACAAAATTTTTAAGATTTAGAGATGGAAGAGGACAATAGAATTCAGAGGTGGCAAAATGTTAGAATTTGGGGAAGCATCGAGCAGCAGAAATTAAGGATACACAGAGATTGCACCTGGCAGCAAAATGCCTAGCACCAACCCTGATGCCTTTACATACATTTTAAAATCTTAAAAATTATTTTTACTAATAAGTTTTGATAGATGTTTTCAATTTTCACCAGTTAAATATGGTAATTTTTCAAATTACTATATTAATTTTACATAACTTGTAAATTTCTTAGTACTTATGTAATAATTTTTCTTAAAATTGGCAGTGAAAATTGATTTGCTGAAAAAAGATATAGCTTGATAGAAAAGCTGCATAAAGTAAGATTAGCTAACAGGTTAGCCTACTGCATTTATTAATTAATTTCATGGATAGTAATTGTTTTCTTTATAATTAATGCAACGTAATGGAATTGATGAGAGACTTATTTATAAATAAAATATTCTGCATACCACAAATTATTTTTGAATACATAATTTTGCAGAAATTTAACAGTGCTCTACGGGGATGCTTGCATGAAAGGTAGAACAAAATTCGTATGCAAACAGTTGAGATTTCTATGGAAAAAGCAGTAATATTAAATATTCAAATTCTCTTATAAAAGAGTAAAATGCAGTTTTTTTAAAGTTAATTAGAAAGTGTTTAGAACTATATGTTAATTAAAAGCTTGGGAATAATGCTGTGTATTATCTATCACTTTTTATTTATTTATTTAAATTTTTAAATACACCTCTAAAATTATTTGTTGTTTTAATCATTTCTTTTTCTTGCCATTCTATTGCACATTCAATGTGAAAGCTATTGAATTTTTTTTGGTGAAGCTATTATTATTGAATTATGAAGTTACTGAAATTAAAACATATTGGAATAATTCCTGATCATTAAACTGTAAACTGCTAAAAGAACTTTGCCGGTCCTGTAGATGGTACTAATATTCAAACAAATGAATTGCTGTGGGGGATTTTGAAGCTAAAGAGTGTATACAATGTGTAAAGAACCACACTGTAAAGGCTTCCAGCTTACTTATCTTGCAGAAGCATGGTGGAGATCCATTAATAAGATTGAGTGCTATTTATTTGGCCATGCTGCATGACATTCATATGTATGGCTGAATGATTCATAAAAATAACTCTTTCAAGGGCCACTCCTGCTTTTGTTATGTAAAACTGAAGGAATTAAAAATTTAGTAGATTTTAAAATTAATTAACTGAATCATTTTCATATTTAAGTATTCTCAATTGTCTGTATTTATTTCCATATTTAAAAATAGCATCTTAGTTGCACTATCAAAAAATAACTAACTAAAAGCAGATCAACATAGTACATGACTATCAAAAGTTTTTTTGTGATAATGCGAATTTAATTTAATTTATGATTTGTATGTTTTATGTATGGATTATTAAAAAGGAAATAAATTCTATAATTTTGAAGTAATCAGAACAGTAAACAGTAAGTTTGCGTAACTTTTGAAATAATTTTTTAAAATCTATTTTATAGGTCAATGGTACTTTAGTAACTCAGTCAAATCATCAAGATGTTGTGGAGCTTATAAAGTGTAAGTATGCAATTAAAAACATTTTTTCTGTAAGGAAGAAGGAAATATAATGAACACTAAATTTAAAATACCATTATAAATCACTACATTTCCAAAATATTTTGTGTCTGATGTAGCTTGCTAAAAAGTCTGTTGAGAGAAACAGATTTAGTTATTGCAATAACCCATTTATTATTTTTGTCTAATTTTTTCCACAGATAAATGAAACATGTCAAGCATTTGAAATTGGGAGAAAAAAGATTTTGGTTGGGAGAGTCTTTATGCTGGGTTAGAAGTCTTAATATGGTAGAAATGCATGTGAAAAAAATATTCTGATAGTGAATATTATATATACTTGTAGCATTTAGTTGGAAGTCCTCTGGATTTCGAAGCAGCACCTGTTCTATTGGGCATGAGTTCAGCTGTCTCTGTAGTTTTGGTTGATTAATGAATTAGCATTTCGTTCTTAAAGTTTCATATATTGAAAATTTTAGTAATTCTAATCCATCTGTCAAGCTGTTTCTGTAAATTTTTGTGATATTGAAATTGAGTAAGAGAGATATTTTTCAAATGGTGTTTCACAAATAAACTTTTTAATTGAATGTCTTTTTTTTTATCCCATTCATTAACTGTTGCTTCCCAAGTATTGATGGTTAATCACATTTTTATTATTCAAGCCATTTTTTTCCCTTTCTTTCTTTCTTTTTTTTTTTTTTTAAAGATTATGTAGTAGTAGACACTTAGGATTGTTAAAAAGATATTTTAAGTACCCCACCTTACTGTTTAATTCTGAACATTTATAATTTTATTTTGCAGTTTGATATGAGTATATTGACTTTGTGCATGCGTTTTCCTTGAAAGCATATGCAATAAGATGTTGATGTGTAGCAAAGTATTAAAGAGTTCTTTCACCAAAATATGGCTGCTGACTCTCTGCCGAGTTTTTTTTTTTTATCACATCTGCTGGTAGATCACTGAATCTCCCAGTTTTGAATTTGACCTTTACCAAGGAAAATATTTTTCTGCAATTAAATACGAGGGTAAGTTGAAAAATAAGTTTCCCCTGTCGACTGTGGTCAGAGTTGTGTATGAAAGTCAAAAAATAGAATGAGACATTAAAGATATGACATACCTTTATTTTTCCACATAGGTACCAAGTACATTGAGACATTTGTCATATCACTTGATAAAGCTTCAAAAAGCCCTCCAGGAAAAAATCAGGGCTTTGCATGTGGAAGAAGCGTTGAACGGCTTGTTTCACTTCAGTATTGCTTCCAAAGCGCCTTCCCCCGAGATTTTTCTTCAAAGCCGGAAACAGATGGAAGTCGCTTGGTGCAAGATCAGGACTGTATGGCGGATGGTGTAGGCGCTCCCAACCAAGAGTTGCAATATGGTTTTGCGTTGCCGTCGCCGAATGTGGTCTGGCATTGTCATCCAACAGCAGAACGCCAGATGTGAGAAGGCCAAGCCACTTTTTCCGAATTGCCTCTTTCAATTTCGACAGGATGTCACAGTAGCTCGTAGCATTGATGGTTCCAACCTCCAAAAAGTCCAGCAACAAAACTCCTTGGGCGTCCCAGAAAACTGTGAGGAGCACTTTACCTGCAGAGGGAGTTGTCTTGAACTTCTTTCGGGCAGGTGATGACGGATGTTTCCACTCCATAGATGCGGCCTTCGATTCTGGCGTGAAATGGTGGACTCACGTTTCATCCCCCGTCACAATCCGAAACAGAAAGTCATTGCCATCTTCATGGTAACGCACAAGATGTTCCAGGCTGACCTGACCCCCATGCGTTTTTCCTTGTGTGTCGAGGTCAATTGTCGGGGCACCCATCATGCTGACACTTTTCTGTATCGAAGAATGTCGTGGATGATATTTTGATCTCGCTCATGTGAGATTCCAAGTTCTTCCACTACTTCATCGATGGTGATACGCCGGTTCGTTCTAATCATGTTATCCACCTTCCTGACATTTGCATTTGTAGTGGCTGTGCACGTCCGTCCAGCTCTCGGTATGTCCTCCACTTGCTGACGTTGATCACTGAATGTGCGACACCATCTCCGCACCATTTGCTTCGACATCACACCTGGCCCATAGACTTCCACGAGGCGGTTATGAATTTCTGTTCCTGATACTCCACATGCCCATTCATAGCGGATAACCGCTCTCACTTCCTCCTTTGACCACGAATTCAAAACGCACCTTCTCTCCATACCTACCGGGGCTCAAATGAGAGGCTGGTCTCCGCTTTGCGCAAGCACTGCAACAGCGCCATCTGCTTGATTTGCAGCGACCTCTACCCAATGGTTATCGGTGACTTGCACGTTTTCCTGCTGTGTCGCCTTTCGCCCATAGCCATTCAACGCTTCTTCCATATGCAAAGCGTGAATTTTTCTTGGAGGACTTTTTGAAGCTTATCAAGCGATATGACAAATGTCTCAACGTACTCGTACGAGAATAATAAAAATAAAGGTATGTCATATCTTTAATGTCTCATTCTATTTTTTGACTTTCATACACAACTCTGACCACAGTCGACAGGGGAAGTTTATTTTTCAACTTACCCTCGTATATATACACAGACAAAAGTCTTTAATCCAGACGTCCATAATCTGGACCTCAAAGCTGACGCATGCGCATAATACCTTTACGAACGAGCATATGCGTTTACACTTGCGCATAATACATTTACGCATGCGCGTTTAATGTATAACGGACGGTATAAGCTAAGCTAAAATTATCTAAATATCTGTTTCAGTTAATGTTGCAGATTGCACTGTTCCTTAATTTTCTAATTGAATCTGGCTTATTATTTTTTGCAGACTGTTAGAGCAATTTTATAAAAGTAAGCTTGAACTTTCGATTATGTCAAAAAGAATTTCCGATTTTGGAGCTGCTAAAGGATCTACAAAACGAAAGCATGTTTCGATGTCGATCAAACAAAAAGTGGAATTGCTGCAAAAAATGGATAAAGGCATATCCTTTGTTTCTCTAACCATTCCAAAATCTGTTTTATAAATTTCATGCTGCTCTGCCGGGGGGGGGGAAGTCGCGGCGTGCAATGAACTGGAAGTTGATCTGTCAGCAATTCCTTATCTTCAGGGCAGATGTTTTTATTTTATTCGGCTTATAATTCCTTACTAAATGTAGTATTTCATCTCGATGTACTCCGTCTTTGATATGATTTAAATCAAACTCCTCGTCATTATAAATATCACGAATACACATCAAATAGTTTTCAGGTTGCAATATTCTAATTTTGATTATGTGTAATGTATGCTTTACGTATGCGCGTGTTGAAAGAAATGTTTAATAAAGTAAACAAATAAATATTAAGCTTTTTTTTTTTGTAAATTTTGATACCCTTTAGATCATAATTGCTCTTTATTTCATAAATTACCGTTACATATTTTTAATTTTATAATTTCTGCATGTCATCTTACCAGATTTAAACTGAAGATCCATACTAATTCAGAAGTCAAACAATAAAAATCAGCGTTATATTTACAAAATTTTCACAGGACTAATTTCGATGGTTTTACCGAACCACCATCCTCAGCTGCAAAACCGCAAATGAACAAGACAGGAAAAAATGATTAGATAAGATAAGGAAGCCTGGACAAGAATAAGTCCAGGCTTTCTTATCTTATCTAATCATTTTTTTCTTATTTATATAAATTTATCTTTCTTATTTATCTAATCTATGTTAATTATTTCTTATTTATCTAATTTTAATTATAATTTATTTTCTTATTTATCTTATCATTTTATTCTTGTCCAGGCTTTCTTATCTTATCTAATCATTTTTTCCTATCTTGTTCATTTGCGGTTTTGCAGCTGAGGATGGTGGTTTGGTAAAACCATCGAAACTAGTCCTGTGAAAATTTTGTAAATATAATGACTTCTGAATTAGTATTTATTCGGCATGTTATTGTGTCTTAATTGATGATCCATAATCCGGAATCGCCAAAGTCCCAATGAGTCCAGATTAAAGACTTTTGACTGTATATATGAAACATAAATTGTGCAAATTGTTCTCTTCAATCCCTAGTGATATTCAGCATGGTTTTTCTTATTTTATTCTATTTGTTCTATTTTAAATTACTGTAGTCATTTGTAGAACATTATATGAAGATAAAACGAATGTTTAATCAGTTAATTGTGTTAAATTTTGTTTTATATCAATATATGATACATTTCTAGGTTTATCTGCATAATAATATGTACATATATTATTAATTTTACTTTTTTCATGTTAAAAAGTACTTTGATAAATTAGTTTTCTTTCCATAATAAAAATACACTGAATTTAAAAGCATAAACAAGAATACAAAATTAAATAAACAAGGAATAATAAATTTAGAATATCTAATTAAATATTAATATATTTTACATTAGATTTATGAATAATTGAATAACCCGAGCAAAGATTTTAAAGGAAATGTAAGAAAATTTGGGGTTCTTTTGAAATGGGGCCATCATGCAGCACCAAAACTTCCTGTTTTCAAGATTAAAAGTATATGGCAAAGTATTTTTATATTCACTGATTTATATATAAAGTGCATTTTTGTTGATTTTAAGCAAACTAAATTCCTAGATGTGAAAATTAACACACAGTAGCAATAAATGTAATATGAGCAGTATTGTATGAAAGAGAAGTATCTCCTTTTTCATCCATATTTTATTATGACTAGAGCAGAATCTAAATTAGTTATCAATTTTATTATGACTAGAGTAGAAACTAAATTAAATTATACTATTTATAAGTGATTCTTCGAAATAAAATTCAAGGGCAAAATGTGAAAATTACTCTCCTGTCTATCTGCTGCCATGGCCATAATATTACGCATGTTCTTGCTTCTGGATTGAGGTGATCCACATATTTTATTAATGGTTACTAATTCTGTATTATATTTTTTAAATCCCTAAGTGATACTAAAGATAACATGGGTTACAAATATATTAAATATGTATTTACATGAAAATCTATAGTGACATTGTATGCTCATAGCATTACTTAAATGATCTCACTTTGTATTCAGTTCTATCTTTAATGTTTATGGTACATCTGAATCCACGCCTCACTATTGAATCAGGGTTTCTTTGTCTCCTTTTCTGTCTGTTTGCGTGAAGTTCTGGTTCCTTCACATATAGTTTTAATACTTTGTATATTAGTAATGAAAGCAATATGGAATTTTTTTTGTACCTATCTTAAGAAATATTTTAATAAGGTTAATATTTTATCTTAAGAAACCAAAAGCTTACTTTAGAAGTCATATTCATTAATCATTGAGTCATACTTTTAAGTCATTTGGATAATATTATGAAATGTTTGCTTTGTATGTTGTTTATAAATTTATGAATTACCTGTTTGCAGATGTAAGCATCTTTATTGTTTAATTTTTTTAAATGATTTACTGTTATTGTAGATAAAACAGAAATTGCAAATAATTATAACCCAAAATACAAATTTTAACTTATTTTTGCTGAATGTAATGCATGTTAATTTCCTCATAATAAAAATACATAGAAATAAAAGAGAGCACTAATGCAAATATTTTGAAAAAAAAAAAAAAAAAAAAAAAAGTGTAACAAATTATTGATAAAAAATAAAGTCATGCTCATTGTAGTGAAGTATTTATTTAAAACTGGATCTTATTGCAGACATTAAAATCCCTTATTAACAAGTTACTATTTTAAAGCTTTTACTCTTCTGTTTAAATATCATTTAGATTTTATGTACTTTATATTATGGCATAAATATATTATTTTGTTCATTGTCAAATTTAATATTGATGATTTGAACTTTTTGCCTTGTATAATCTTTATTAATTTTTGATACAAATGTAATTTGTTCACTAATACTTTGCTACTTAATATTAAAATCATTTTTCAAATTTCTAGCCGGTTCCTACGTTGCCCTTACTCTTCTGGGCAAGCCTCCTGGACAAAGCAAGGGAACTTTGAGTCCAACTCAGTCTTTTCATTTGCCAGGGAAAAACTCAAGTATGAGTATTTCTAATTCAAATAAATCAGGTTTATCAAACAGAATTACGGGACCACAGCCTGTTGATGTAAGTTGAATGACTTTTAGCATTTTGCACATTTATTTTATTGTTGTTAATCTTCCATTTGCAGGGTGAAAACATACATGAAAATATTTTCTGTGAAATGAATGCCGAGAATATAATTTTATCATTTAAAATCTTCAGTTTTGGAAAGCACAAAAATTCATCATTTAAAAGTGTATTATAGGTTACATTTACTTGTATAATACTTTATCTGAAGTTTTTGAGTTTTCATCTCTTGACTTGTTTTCGAATTTTTTTTTTTTGTAAAATCTATTATTTCAGTATGCTTCCAGTTTTTGTCATATGAAGAAAAGGTATTGAAAGGTTTTTATGCCTTATTTTGGTAATATGTTGCTCATATTGATTTGTTCTCATTTTGTTCTTCCTTGCCTTTGGCATTTTGTTTTTTCTGTAATTGCACAATTGTAGTAATTTTTATAATTCTTTAGTTTCTGTAATTAGACAAAAAAATTGGCATTTTGTTTTTTTCTGTAATGAGACAACTGTATTATAGAGTTTATGTGTATTCTTTGGTAACATACAATCTTGACTCTATGTGGAAGATAAAGTAACGAATTCTCGCTATATCCATTGCTCGTCCAAAGGTAGCATGGATGCCACTTAAACCAAATGGCATACGTAAAAATGTGTACACGCCAGATTTAATGATAAACTCCGTCTTATTAACATCCTCCGGTTTCATACTGATTTGAAAATAGCCAGAGGTAAGGTCTAGCATTGTCATACATTTTGTAGGATTTATTTGTCTAATTATCTCTTCTGTGATTGGTAAGGGGTACACCGGATAGTTTGTCATGTTATTTAACTTTTTGTAATCTATGGCAAGATGCCATGTTTTACTTTCTGTAGGGGTAAATTGTTTTTCTTGCGACTTAATAAGACTGGGCTTGCGAACGGACTACTAGAAGGCACAATTATTTTATTTTTTGGCAGTTGCTTTATGGGATCTTCTATTATGGCTTCTTTATCTTACCTGTAGGGTAAGATAAAGAATTGCCCTAGGGGGTAAATTATCCCCAATGTCTAACGAGTGGTTTATCATGTAAGTCAGACCAGGCTGGTCACTAAATAAATCTGTGAAGTTCCTTACCATATTTTTTATTTTTCTTTTGCATTCTCTTTCAAGTTTAACTCCAGCCTTTGGATTTCTTCTTTGCCTGCTTCTGCTGATTTGAGGAAGTCCATACCTAAAATGACATTAGCTTGCAAATTTTTAACTACAAAGAAAGTAACTTTCAATTGCTCACCTTTTACTTGCACATATAGTAACAGATTTCCAATGGAAGCGCACCTAATTCCTTGCGTTGCAATCACAGCTGTACCTTTAGTGTTGAAGGTTCTTCTTCTGTACCTTTAGTGTTCTCCTCGGCGAAAATTCTTTCGTGCGGTTAAATCTCTGTTGCTGTTGTTTGCCTGGCTTAGGCGTGTGGAATGTTTTGTACTTCCGCTGATACATCTGGATGCGTTCTTTTGTTTGAAATGTGCAGTTTTTCATACTTTGTGGCCAGCTCAAATAGAATTTCCAACATCAACAGATTCCTTATTTCTATAAAGTCTTGCGCAGATGGGAGTAGTCTCGGCAAAATAATTTGATTTACTTCATCGTCAGGCTTTCTTCTATACAATAGTTTAACCACTTGGATTTTATGTAGAATAAAGCTTGTGAGATCTTTCCTGTTCATCTGGTACCAGCTATACAGTTTGGCTTCTAAAACTGTGTGCGATTCTTCATGACTGGAAAGGCTTTTAGAAGGGCGGTTTTAAAATTTTGATATGTGTACAACATTGGCATGCTTGGTTCTCCAAGTAAAAATTTGCCGATTCCTTCATACCAACACAAGGTTGTCCTAAGAGAACTGAAGTTGAAACTGCCACTTTTTGGATTTCGTTCACTGCATACAAAATGAAGTGGTCGTCCAGCGGGTCCATAAATGCTGCTGCTGCTCAACCTTTTCCATCAAATAGGCACTGGAGCTCTCATGGTGTTAACAATGTAGCCAAAGCCTTCCATAGGGTTAGCGTGAGTCACAGGTGCTGTAGATATGGATGGGGCGAGGTCACTTGTAGAGGTTTTTCCATTGTCCTAAACTGTTTCGGGTGCCTGTTATAGAGTCTATATGTATTCTGTGGTAACATGCAATCTTGACCCTATGTGGAATACGAAGTAGCCAATTCTTGCTGTGTCTTTAAGAATAAATACTGCAGAAGAAAGGTTTAAATAACCTTTTTATTTAAAAATAAATTAAAAGAGATGCAAATAAAACATATTAATGCAAATAAACAATTGTGTTTGTGCTCACAAATCTCCACCACTTCTGGTTACGTAACGGAGAATAAGAATGTAACAAAATACTAGTAAATTAAGATAATCTAGTTATTGGCTTCTTAACTTAAACTAACACTAAATCACACAGCAAAGCTGAACCGAGAAATATCAGTATAAACTGATAGGTGTTGAACACAGAACTAGAGAGCTAACTTGAAACTTGCATGAACATCAGCGCTAAGTCCGCTACTACCCTTTTGAACTCCTGAAATGCAGCTTAAATACTGCTTCTGAAACATGTTGAGAATTTGCATCTACATCATATAAAATTTACATTCTGGCAGGAATCGGAAATCGGGAAGAACAGGAAAGTCAAACTGAAAATAATTGGTTTGAATAAAATAAATACTGCACAGTATGATTTTCATGTTGTTATTTTTCAAAAGAAAGTTTTGATTATTTATATTTATACTTTTTACATTTAATAGTTTTTTACGTAAAGAGTTCGCAGTGTGTTTAAATTATTACTGTAATAGAGAAATTTGAAATGAAATCTGCTATAATACGGTTTTATGTTAAAAAGTACTGAGAACCACTGTCCTTTTTTGATCAAAATTTACCTCACCTGAGATATCAGTTAAGTTAATATGTTTTATTTATTATTTTATTTTAGACTTAAAACTTAATCTAAGTGGGAATCAGTTTCCATCTGAGAATCAGTGGACCGAAATTTCATTTTGCTTCTGAAAGCAAGCTTTGTCTTGCTTTTCTATGAACAACTTGGTTTTTTTGCTTATTTTCAGTTCTTTACTTCCTCTTGAATTACTGACTAGAACTCAACAGATGATTAGGAAATGTTTAGGAATTATAAGATTTTATGTTTAATGTTTAGGAATTATAAGTTAATATGTTTTATTTATTATGAATGAAGTATAATTTTATTTATTATGAATGTTATGAAACAGAAAAGAAAGAATTTCACGTAACACTAAAGTCTTCTTTCCTTAGTCTAACTTAAATATAGATAATTAGAATCATAGGCGTTTCTAAGCGTGAAAATTTTATCATATTTGCTTGAAAACTAAAAGTAATTTCTGCAGTGCATAGTAATTTTTGTTTTTACATTCTATAACATAAAAAGCGACACACCGAGAAGGAGGGTTTTTTTAATGAAACAAAAATCAGTAGATGTTATGTACACTCTGCACATGCAAAAAAAGGGGGGTGAACAGTTCTATATTGCCTATTCTACTGAGCCATTTGGCAAAATTTATTTTGTATTTTTTAAAGCTTGGAAGTGTTACTTAGAATTTATACATAGCATTATTCTAACAGGTATTTTGACATAAAATCAGACTTTTTCTGAAATGACATGCTAATTTTTTTTTCTTCTATATTTTGATTCTATGACTCTGCCATAATATTATATTTTGTAAAATTGCTGAGAAATTTACCAAGAAATTAAAAAAAATTATCTTGCCATACTTTTTCCAGTTTGCATGAAGAATAATTCACCTGATGAAATTGTTAATTTATAGTAACCTGTTTTCATTTCCCTTTCTTCATTGTGCATGAGCAGAAGAAAAAGTGCATCGTTCATTCTTTCAAATCATTTTAACAAAATGTGTAAAGCAGCACATTTGTCGTTATTATCGATTGTAAGAAACATGTCGAATTTCATAATGTGCCATATAAACTCATATTTATCTTGGAAAATTTTGAATAACAAACACTGATTTTTTGCAGGTATGCCTAGAAATACATCTGCTTTAAGCTGATGGTAAAAATGTTATAAGTTATATTTAAAAAATTGTTTCAAAACATTTATAAAAATGGATCTACTCTTATATGCGCCCTCGGTTCGCCAAATTTCTCGCCAAACATTTTTGGCTAGAAACTCCACGGTCCTATATTACTATCTAAATTTTTTGTCTACTTTTCGAACTTTAAGCCTAAAATGTCTCCAAAAATGCTGTTTTCGTACATGCAAAACCACAATTTGAACACACAATTTTAGCTAAAAATCCGAAACAATAACAAAAAATTTATATAGCAAAAACGTAGTTTCTAACCAAAAATATTTGACAAGAATCCATGTACACAGCGATATGTTTTAACTTAAAAAAACATCTACGAATTGCACAATCTAGCCAACGAACGAATCTACGAACTACGCACACCTTACTTTAATAAATTAACATAAAAACACTAAATTTTAAAGAATACCATGTACACAGCATCCTGTTTAAAATTTAAAAAAATCTACGAATTGCACAATCTAGGCATTCAGCACAAATCAACAAAATAAACTAAAATAACTAAAATTACAAACAATTTAAAAAACAAGTATAACAACAAAAATTCATAGTGAAAAACAATGAACATAACATTATACAAAATAAAAACAGTAAAATAATATGCACTTACCATAATACATTCGTTAATAAAATTTTGCCAGTCACAACGTCTGTGAAAAAAAGAGGCACGATTTTGCTATAATCACATCTCTTTCTGCGATTAAAAATTTCGAAAGTAACGATAAAAACTTCCTCCGAAGTTAACTTATTACACGAAAACCACAATCCAAATCTTAAACTCAGCTAACAGACACATACTTTACCAGCAAGCGTTTAGCTGCAAATCCACACAAGAACTACCAGAAACACCCTTCTTCATCTGAGTTCTCATAGCAGCTCCGCATTTCATACTCCGTTTTAAAAGTCCCACTGAAATTCTAGAAATACACTTCGATCCTCATAAACACACCATAAACAAAAGACTTGTTAACAACTCCAACATCGTATCTTTTAATACTAAATTTACTCTCCATACAATCTAAAATACGGGACTGAAATCTTGCCACCACTTCTATCATTGCAACATAAGTCATTTGAAAACATGTACGACACGAACCGATGAGCAATTAAACCACTGCAGCAAAAGAGTTAAGAGTTTCAATGTCAAAAGGGTTGTCATACAAACAACATCATCCCCAAAACCACCGATCAAGCCAGGGCAGAACATATATTGCCACTTTTGGTGATCTTAGGGTGACTATAAGAGTAGAGCCATAAAAATTACTGAAAAATACACATTTTAAAAACAAATCTGGGAAAAAAAAAAAAAAAAAAAAAAACTTGCAAATTTTATTTGGATTGAACCTGAATTGTGAAAGAAGCAACCAAGTAAGTTTAACAAAGAAAGAGATATTAATAAATATATGACAAATTCAGTTAACACTAAGGAGCTAAAATTTTTAGAGCTAATTTTTTAAAAGTTACTCGTGCGATTTTTGCAAAACTTGGCTTGAGTCGTAGAATTAAAATGTAGAAAAAAAATTGGTATATCTTTTAGAAAAAGTACGATTTTGTGTCAGAATACCCAAGTTAGAACACTGCTATATATAAATCTGATATATATTCTAACTTGTGCTTTTGTGACGTGAAAAACGCAAGTTAAATTTCGTTAATTGGCTCAGTAGAACGGATGATATAGAACTGTTACCTTCCCCTTTTTTATGCAAGATGTACGTATATTGAATATGAAGCAGTAATAGGATTATAGGAATTAAATGTTTTATTCAGAAAATGTGGAAGAAAATGACCTATTTTTGGCCCTGATGCAAGCTCTTATCTGACTGGGCGTTGACTCATAGAGTTCGTAGATGTCCTCATGTGAGACTACTTGCCATGCACATTGCAGCTGGTAAATTAGACCAGTGCAATCCTGGATCGGAGATGCCTGTTAATCAGAACCCTAGACATATTCTTTGGGGAGAGATCTGGCAATCTCATCAGCCAGGGAAGTGTTATAAAAGGACAAAGACAACTATGGAAAGGAGTGTCGTATGCAACCGGGCATTATCCTGTTGAATGTAAGCCTAGGAGTCTGTAAAAGGAATGGCAACACTACAGGGCATAAAATTGGCCATTGGCATTCCAGTTACCCTTTGGATCGTTGATGAGAACTTGTCAGGGTCTGTGAGTTCCGTAGGATAACTGTGTCCTCACATTCTGTTGTTGCTCTCGATTAACTTTTACATTCTTGACATTTTGTACAGCCATGGTTCACCTGCCAGCTTTGTTGAACGGTAGCATCACACTGACCGAAATGCTTTGTGATACAGACACTTGACCACCCTGCTTCCTTCCTCCATTTCAATTGCATGCATTCTCTCAGATGATGACATCTGCTCTTAGTGTTCATGAACCTATATGAAAGCCATTGGTAGAGTCCATATTGATTGATGAAACCTCATTTTCATGGAAATTATGCCTTAGCATTGTCATGTCCTATTTTATACACCATCAGAATGCTCCTTTGCAATGCGCTGAAGCTCCAGCTAGTGAGTCATTGTCCATCAAAAGTTAATTGCATATTTTATCATAAATTTTGAGAATATGCAGTTTCGTCCCATTTCGAATAACAGCTTCTTGGTGCATCACTTTTTATGTTATAGCGTGTATTTGATAGTAGTTATGATTTAAGTTTTATAACTTTTGTTATAGTATCTCTTTTTTGTTTTATTAGCTATATTTTTCTCATAAACATGTGAAATGTTTAAAGCATATATGTTTTTAACAGCCTGAGAAGCAGCAGCAACTCACAAATTCTCGTATACATACTATTCGAAAAATGCTGGAGCAAGAAGCTGACTACCTCGAAGTAAGATAACTTCTTTAATGAATTTTTTCCTGTTGAAATTAATGTATAGAATTTAAGATTTTATTTCCATGAAAATTTGTTTTGCATGTTATAAAATTTTGCTTTTTTAAAGTATATTGAAGAGTTGTGTTCATCCTTTAGTTTTCAAAATTTTAAGTACCTTCTGTTTATGTAAAATTTAATTAATTATTTTTTAAATAATTGAAAAACTCATATTACTGAAATAAATTCTCACTGATTTGGAGATGCTTTTATCCTTTTTTAGTCATACAAAATTGTTCTCTGTAATTTGGTGTAACTTTTAAATAAGTTTTTTAAATTTTAGGTGAACATAATTAGCAGTATTTTTAAAATTATATTATAATAGCAATATAATTTTTTAAAAAATTGAATTTTCTGCTAATTATGGTTATAATTTGTGTAGATGTTTCATAACCAAATAATGAAAAATGGCCGATTAGAGGTTGAGTGTCTGAACAATGAAATACTGGGAATTCACTTCTGGTCCTATTTGTGGTGGCTGAAAAGAGTGATTAAATGAGATTTTTCTTGTTTTTTCGTGTGAAATATTAATACACAGCTCCCCCTAGAAAAATTTCCCGTGAAAGCATTGTTTCCATGGGCAAATACTTCTAATGTGCCATGCTACAATTTAATATTCAAGTCTAGTCATAAAAAGAAATAATATTTGAATATATGTTTCACTGTGAAATATGTAAATTTATATTTTAGCTGAGGCAAAGAATTATGAGCTGGTGTGTGGTGTATTAACACGTTAATCGCCATGTCAGCCGTCTGTGGCTAACACTAGACTTTCCGTTTAGACCGCGTCAGCCATCTGTAGCTGACACTAGACTTTCCGTTTAGGCCGTGTTGACCGCTGCTGGCTGAGAGCGTGTAACATGATATATAACTATACAATTTACCATGTTTTATGGAATTACAGAAAAATTATTTAAAATTTACTTAATTTTGATTCATTACAGGACTAATGGATTTCATTGAAACACAGTAAGCATAAAAAACGGTTCTCCATTACAGCTATTACAAATTGTGACAACTGTCTAGTCTTTTTCTGGCCATTACTCTGCAGCTTCAGTCGCATTTTTATCATAAATAATTTACAATATTTCCGTAATTCAGAGGCTTTTCCCGGTTTCTTTGGAATTTATGCTGTCGTTTTTTTAGATATTTTGCATTTATGTTCGATGGAATCCTTCTTTTTCACAACTTGTAAGGGATAGCGCTAATTCTTTCCGACTTCAGTAATGCTAATTTTCTGCTTCGTAATATCTTTCTATAGAATGTAACTATTTACAAAACAGACTTTGCGTGCAATGTGTTGAATGAATGCCTATAGGAATCATGCTCCAAACGTAAACTATCTTCTACTGCGATAAGAATCGCTGACCCTACAATACCAGCATTTTTAAGCGGCGCACGTGGCCTGAACGGGATTGCCTAAGAAATACTCTTGTCGCTCAGAGTGTTAAGAGTTGAAATGCAGATGAGTAAATTTATATTAGTTTCATAATTAATGCAATAAAATTTCACATTTTATTGCTGAGTGCGTTATTGTTAAATGCTAGTACATTTGAATGGAAATGCTAAAATTGCTGACAGATATATAATTTTTTGTTAATTTTATTCTTTCCAGTTTCAGAACTAACCTAGGTATTTAGCATTTAGTTTTGTATTTGCTGACATTAAGTTTAATAATGATCTTAAAAAAATTAATTAGATAATAACTTTTCAGAATGTGACGTTTGTTGGGATGGGATGTAATTATTAATTCTTTGAAGGATTTAATGCTAATTTAAATAATGAAATGCGTTATCAATTTATATGAAGATTAATATTTTAGAAATGAGTCATCTATCATAATCTGAAATTGGCAGTATTATTATTATTTTAGGCTCTGCTCTTATATTCACCCTGATTTCACCAAATGTGGCGATATGTGTTCTGCGCTGGTTTTTGGTGCGATTGCATGTTGTATGGCAACCCTGTTGAGGCTGAAAAATCTTTTGCTGGAATGGTTTAATTGCTCGTTGGTTCGTGTCGTGCGCCTTTTTTAAGTGGCCTATGTTGCAATGATAGACTTGGTGGTAAGATTTCAGTCGCGTATTAGATTGTGTGGAAAGTAAATTTAGTATTAAAGGTACAATGTTGGAGTTCTTAACGAGTCTTTTGTTCACGGTGTGTTTAAGAGGATCGAAGTGTATTTTTAGAATTTCTGTGGGATTTTTAAAACGGAGTATGAAATGCGGACCTGCTATGAGAATTCGGATAAAGAAGGGCGTTTCTGATAGTTCTTGTGGGGATTTGCTGTCAAATGAGTGCTGGTAAAGTATTTGTCTGTCAGCGTAGTTTAAGATTTGGATTGTGGTTTTGGTGTAGTAAGTTAACTTTGAAGGAAGTTTTTATCATTACTTTCGAAATTTTGAATCTCAGAAAGCGTGATATAGCAAAATCGTGGCACTTTTGTTCACAGACGTTGTGTGACTGGTGAAATTTTATTCAGGAATGTATTATTATGGTAAGTGCATTTTATTTTACTGTTTTTATTTTGTATAATGTTATGTTCATTGTTTTTTTACTATGACTTTTTTTTGTTATACTTGTTTTTTAAATTGTTTGTAATTTTAGTTTATTTTGTTGATTTGTGCGGAATGCTTAGATTGTGCAATTCGTAGATGTTTTTTACTTCCTTGTACGAAGTAAAAAGGAAGTATTGTAATTGCGAAAAGTTTCAGGCGGCATATTTTGACGAAAATATCCATTTTGACTGCTATCGAATGCAATTTAATAATGATTTTGCGTGATATCTGTACGTAAAAACAGAATAAAAGACTCGTTTCCTCCAAAGAAATTATAAAATTGCTTTAAAATTAATTCTGAAGAGAATTTTTCATGGCATCTGTACGAACATATGTACGTGCAACTCAGAAACGAGCAGCCACAGAATGTTGAAATTTGGTATATAGGACTGCTATAACATGTAGACGTGCACCTCGTATTTTGGTTGCAATCGGCCGCGCCAAACGTATATAAATATATTAGATATATATATCCACGTGTTACCCGGCTCAGTGATCTCAGTTTCTTTTTCTCTTATATGTTTGTAAATTGTACATTTTTGCTTTAAAAACGATTGAATTATGTTGTTTTTATTTCCGGTTAAGGTTTTTATGCCTTTAGTAAATCTGTATGCAATATTTTTAGAATTATCAACATTTTTTAAAGTGTTTAAGTGCACTAAGCCTTTTTTTTTTATAGCGGCCATTCATTGTTTACATTTGAAACAGCAGACTAGTGGATTTTGTTGCCAATCTAGAGAAACTTAGCTTCGCAACAACAAAGATAAAACTTTTTATTATTGCCAATTAAATCATGCTTAATCCTTTCTGGAATTTTTTTGAGGAATTATGTGTTTAAGATTTACTTCGTAATTTTTAATATAGATATTTTGAGTTTTTATGTATTTTTGTTTTGTCCCGAAGTGAAAACTGAATTAATTGAATGAGAAATACTCAATCTCTGTGAAAAACTGTTTCTTTTTTGTTTTGTTTTCTTAATTTCTTTTATACATCATTCTAGCTTTATTATAGTATTTGAAGAGAACATGTGGCAACGAGTAGATAATTCTATTCTTTAAATGATATAAATTTTGTGCATTATGAGTTATATGAACGAAATGTAATACTTTTAATTGAATCTAGCGCCAGAGTGTCGCTATGGTAAACAAAATACTAGAGTGAATTTTAAAGAATGCATTTATTCTATTGTGGTTTATGTGCTGTCGGCGAAGTAGATTTAATTCAATCCAATAAGTTTAAATGAAATGCAAGAAAAAATGCATATAATTTAATATTCTGTACAAGGAAGTCATGTGGTGTACACATCAGCTTTTTTAAAGTTTAAACAGAATGCTGTGTACATGGTATTCTTTGAAATTTATTGTTGTTTTGTTAATTTATTGAAGCGAGGTGTGCGTAGTTCGTAGATTCCTTCACTGCCTAGAATGTGCAATTTGTAGATGTTTTATAAAGTAAAACATATCGCTGTGTACATGGATTCTTGTCAAATATTTTTGGTTAGAAACTTTGCGTTTTTGCTATCTAAATTTTTTGTTTTTGTTTCGGATTTTTAGCTTAAATTGTGTGTTCAAAACGTGGTTTTTGGAGACATTTTACCGTTAAAATTCGAAATGTAGACAAAAAATTTAGCTAGTAATATGGCGGCGTTTGGCGAGAAATTTGGCGACCTGAGGGCGCATATAAGAGTTGTTCCTTATTTTAGTTTCATTTTTATTTTCTTCCAGTGGAATCAGTTAAGTTTTGATGCTAAGTACTTTTGTAAAGCTTATGTTTTACATTGAAATTTTCAAAAATTAAAGTTGTATAATCTCTTTTATCTATGTAGAATATTATTGCTAAGAAATTACTTTAATTTGAAGTAGTATTGAGAATAAAAATAACTTTAATTAAACAATTCGTGTGATTTTTTAGATTTTTTAGATTGCTAAAGAAGTAGATATATAACGCTGTTTCTTTTTACCTTTGTCACATGAAAAATATGTATTACAGTCAAAAGTCGTTAATTCGGACACCCATAATCCGGAATGATCTATAATCCGGACCTCAAAGCTAAAATCTTTCTTTGCATGCGCCGCGTTGACGCATGCGCATAGGCGTTTTACGCGTGCGCATGCGTTGCAGCGCGCAATGAACTGGAAGTTGATCTTTCAGCACTATCATTATCTTCAGGGCAGATGTTTTTATTTTATTCGGTTGATAATTCCTTACTAAATGTAGTATTTAATCTCGATGTACTCCGTCTTTGATATGATTTAAATCAAATTCCTCGTCATCATAATATCACAAATCAAATCAAATAGTTTTTCTGGTTGCAATTTTAAATTTCGGCTATGCGTAAGGTATGTTGAACTGGAAGTTGATCTATCAGCACTATCGTTATCTTCAGGCCAGATGTTTTTATTTTACGGCTGATAATTCCTTATTAATGTAGTATTTAATCTCGATGTACTCCGTCTTTGATATGATTTAAATCAAATTCCTCGTCATTATAAATATCACGGATGCAAATCATATAGTTTTCTGGTAGCAATTTTGTAATTTCGGCTATGCGTAAAGTATGCTTTACAGCATGCGCGCGTGGAAAGAAATGTTTAATAAAGTAAACAAATAAATATTAGCTTCTTTTTTTTTTAAAATTTTGATACCCTTTAGATCATAATAGCTCATTATTTATAAATTACGGTTTCATATTTTTAATTTTATAATTTCTGCATGCCATCTTACAGATTTAAACTGATGATCTATAATCCGGAAAAATCGATAATCCGGAATCACCGAAGTCCTGACGAGTCCAGATTAAAGACTTTTGACTGTATAACTCATCCAGTTTTTTCATTCAGGCTGTCCGCAATCTTCTTTAAAAGAAAATTCTACATTTTTAAATTTCTTATCGGTCAGAAATTAGATTTCCATAATATGTCAACTATTATGAAGGAAAATCTGTCTTGGGTTCTCTATTAAAAAAGGGAATATTTTTTTCTCTTTTTTTATGTAATATTTTGTCTTATTATTAACTTATTTTTCATTCAGTCAAGAAGGAAAAGAAGAGATTTTATTGTATAACACACTTAATCAGGAAATTGATTACTGAAAATGTAAATTTCATTAGTAAATGTTTTAGAAACTAATCAGTAGAATTTTACTGTTCTGTAGAATCTACGAGCTGAATTTTCCAAAACTCCATCAGAAGAAATTCGTTCCAAAGTCAATGGGGCAATGAAACGTGTGAAAACTTTAGAAGAGCGGTTATTTAATCTTACTGGTATTCCACATGAACATATAGTAAGTTGTCAAGCTTGTATTTTAAATAGCATGCAGTTTTTCATATTTAATATCTGTAAAAAATAGTTATTGAGTGTGCAGGCTTTTCTAAATTAGAGAATTGCAGCATCTTACTTCAAAGTATAAAAATTCAACCGAGTTCCACAGAGGGAGATTGTTGGTGCTTGGTTTGTTGCTGTATGTCTAATCCAACGGTGTCATATACATCACATGTAGCACATACTTGTAAATTTATTCATGCAGTAAATTCCCAATTAATTGCATTTACTCTATAGTTATGCACTGAATCATCAATTTTAAATGTTTTGGGCACTGCCATGTCCTTTTTCTTTGGGCACATTTTCTACTATAAGAGAACTGTGCATGCTGAAGAATATACTGCATTTAATCGATTAAACATGCGTAAAGAGGACATCTTCATTCCTTCCCTACTGTAGTGTGAGAGAGTGATTGAATTTGCATGCTGTTGCATTAAGGTGCATCCACATGACTTATGCTAGCAATGTAAATCACACAACAAAATGCACATTAGCAGGGGGGGAAAAAAAAAAAAAAAAAAAAAAAAAAACTAAATGGAAACGCGAGCAAAGTTTGCATTTAGGCAGTAGAACTGTTGAAGAGAAAAATCATGTGACACTCGTAGAAGGCTGCAAGCGCAATGTGTTTCATCTGTGGTTTCGTATTTTGGTCAGAAGAATGTTTCACCTGGTTTGTTTTATTGCAAAATTTTGTTTCTTTGGCAATTTAACAATGCAGGATAATAAGATTAAACAGTTATTACATGCACAAATCATTTTTTATGCGCATTAAGATGTATAAAACTGTTTTGGAATAAAGTATATAAAAAGAAATTAAATTATTTGAAAATCAGTTTTGATGCATGTTTAGATTTATAAAATCGTTTTGGAATAAAGTATGTGAAAAGAAATTAAATGATTTGAAACACCATCCACCATATAATAAAAACAACTTCATATTTTTTAATAGTTCTTTCCCCCCCTTGCTAAGCTTGCTTACTTATGTGTGGTATGGGAATACATGTAAAGGAATATGTGCGATAAGTAAAGTGTTTTATAAGTTGATTATTTTCTATATGTTATCACGCATAAATTAGAAGAAAAGATTTCTCTCCCAAAAATTTATATGTTGCAAATTTTAATTTAATGGGTCATAGAGAAAATTACACTCAAGACCAAAGATTAAAATGAAGTAATTCTTAAAAAAAAAAAAAAAAAAAAAAAAAAAAAAAAAAAATTAAATAAGCCCTTTTATGTAAAAAGTGTAAAAGTATTACATTTTGATTTTTGGTGCTTCTGCGTGACTGCTTGTTTCTTAATTTTTTTAAATAAAATTTCTGAATCAATATCCTTGTAATTAAAAGTAAAAAAACAACTCTGCTAAAATATTTATGCCCTGTGAATATCAGATGTGAATAACAGCTTTCAATTGCTTTATTCTATTAAAAGTTTTCTTAGGAATGTTGCCTGTATTTCTTAAGATAGTTTTCTTTTCATTAAATATACAAGATATTCAGGGAATGATTGAAAAATTTAAGTAATATTAAAATTTTCTGGTAATTCAAGTAATAATATTCTTTATTCCAAACATTCAGTAATTAAATTGATTACTTGTCTTATCAAACTGTGTTTTTTATTGTTTCTTATTGACACTGTCTTCGCAGGCTTAAAACAGAACATTTATTATCAGTTGGAAGTTGACAGATGGCTTTGATGAGGCCAAATTAATATGGAAATAATTTTATAGTTAATGTATTTTTTTTATTTTAAAATTTAGAATGAAGTTCAAATTTTGGACAGCTTAATGTAAAATTATGTACATAATAAAATACGCAATGAGGTTAAAATAGAGATAATTTATGCAAGAGATGCAGATACATCGTCACATAATGGGTTAATGGTTTCTATGTACAGTGCACATTTTTAAATGGAATTGAAGAAAACAATAATAATATACATTTAGTCACAAAAGTAAGTATGCAGAGTGTATGCGATGATGTCCTATGAAAAAAAAAAAACAGACCTACAATATTAGAGTTTTCAAATTAACGATTTATTTCGATTACAGCAAAATCGAGCTTAATAACCAAATGAAAAGTAATTAAAAAATACAAATATTTAATTAGCAAGATGAGCTTAACTTAAAATAGGATGTAATTTACATCATAAAAGTAAGTATGCAAACAAAAATAAAGACATTAATATTGCAAATTGTACAATTTTTCAAAAAAATTAGTAATTTGTTGGATAGCCTTTGGCCTTTATAAAACCTCTCAATCTAGATGGCACTGATTTTACTAAATTTTGAGTGACAGAAGATTGTATTTTCTGCCACTCCTCCAATAGGGCATTTTTTAGATCATTCTTAGTTTTGATCTCTTACTTTCTAATTTGGCGATTGAGATAATCCCACAAGTGTTCAATGGGATTAAGATCAGGTGACTGTGGTGGGGTTTTTAGCTGTTTTCGCACGTGATATAGCAGCCATTCCCGAACAACCCGAGCAGTATGTTTGGGATCATTATCTTGTTGGAAAGTGAAGGATCCATCGAGTCCCAATTTAGAAGCACTTTGGCTTAGATTATTCTTTAAAATATTCAATTAGCTATATTGATTCATTATTCCATCGATTATAACTAAATTTCCTATTCCAGGGTTGCTGCCATGCAACCCCAAACCATAATCGAACCACCGCCGTGTTTTACAGTTCCTCTCATGTTCTTTGATTTTATGGCTGCATTTGCTTTCCTCCAAACCTTTTGGTGTCCATCTGACCCGTGGATGTTAAATTTACTTTCATCCGAAAAAATCATGGAATTCCAAAAATTTGTGTCCTGATGTACATTTTCTTTTGCAAAATCTATTCTCTTTTTGCGATTCACTTTGCTAACAAATAGCTTTCTTCGCATATTTCGGCCATGGTATCCTGCCTTCCGCAACACACGGCAAATTGTTTCAGGATTGCATGACTTTGCAAAATTGTTTTTCGCATCAGTTGTCAATTTTGGTGCGCTAATCGTCGGATTTTTTTTTCACATTTCCAACAATAATTCACCTTTCTCGATCCGTCAAAATGGGCAGTCGTCCTATTCTTGGCTTGTTCAGAGTATTTCCCCTCAGCCTGGAACATTACAATGATTTTTTGCACTGTTGCAGGACTTGCCTATGATTTAGCGATTTATCTTTGAGACTTGCTTTCCTTATAGAGCTTTATTATTGCATCCTTTAGATCTTTTGATAATTCGTTTCCATGTGGAGCCATTGGTGAATTGTTGATGTACTTAAAGTTCAAACTTACAAGCTTTGTAGCAGAACTTCTAAACTTATCACTGAAATACGAAAAGTCACTTGAGAACTTTCATTCAGTCTATTTAAAAGTCAAAAATTCAGAGTGCATATATACTTTTGTGATTTAAATTTCTACTGGTAGTTAACAAAATTACTCTTAAAGTTTTTTAAAATATAATGATTTGGTTTATTTTTCATTACTTTTGACTTGAATCAGAAGCTATAAACCTCCAACAATAAGAATCTCAGAAGCTCTCCAAAATAATATTTTTCTTATATTTATTTGAGAACTAGAGCTTTTTCACTTAAGCTATGAGTTGCATACTTACTTTTGTGACTTACAACATTGTACTTTTGTGACTTACTTTAACAAACAAATCATAAATATATAACAAATAAAAATAGGAGGGGGGGGGACATTTGAAAGTAATGTAATGAGAGAGGAGAAAAAAGAGGAAGAAAGGGGAAAAAAAAAAAAAAAAGTAGTTGATTGATAGTTTATGATACTGAAGAAAAATTTGTTTAGATCTTTTCAGCTATTATATAATGTAGAATAAGTGCATAGACTAAGGATGCATGACTACTTCATTGTACTATAAGTGCTTATTTTAAATCATGAAAACTCTCTGTTATATTCAAACAAGTTTAGAGTTTTCCTTCCATGTGATCCTAGATTAGCATTTCCTAGAAGAAATATTCATCTGAATTAGCAAGTGAAAATACCTGCAAAGTTTTATGAAGATGCAATACAAGTAATTAAATTGTAAATCATTTGATAAATCGTAAACCCCCCCCCCCCGAACCCCCCCGAAAAAAAAGCTGCTACCTAAAGATTTTGATAAATCTGCTGATACAGGGTGTGACACCTAAAACTCTCCTCTCATAATATCATGGTACATTGCGTTTTTGGCGACAATTAAATTATTTTCAGCTTCCTACCAAGAGATGGCATATTGAGCTGGGTAGGTGACCTGCAGGTACAGTCAGTAAAACCTGTCCAAACCAGTTGAGAAATAGGCCTTTTTGGTGAAGCCGGGAGAATGTGCTATAATGCCGTATTTGATACCCAAGCGCGTTGCCGTTGTTGAATTCATATTTATGTTGTTGTTTGTATTCAAAACATTACATTTCATTTTATGTGTTGACTTTGTTTAATCATTGATTATGTTCATCTTCTGAATGTCTCCTGAAGGGATGGGCCAGTTTTATGTGCTGTACCCTGTATCACCAATAGATGAAATTACATACGAGGCGTATTCAGAAACTAAGTACCGTTTTAAAAAAAAATAGTAAAACAATGTTTTCGAATTCAATTTTATTTTTGCATGAAAATACATGTCTTAAACTATTTTTCAACATAGTTTCCGCCAATGATCGAACACTTGTCATATCGGGTGACCAGTTTTTGTATACCATCGTCAAAGAAACTTCCTGCCAGTTTCGATAACCATGACTCCACAGCATTTTTCGTGTCATTGTCAGATCCAAAGTGCTTGCCACCAAGCTTGCGCTTCATGTGCAGGAACAATTGATAGTCGGACGGTGCCAAGTACGGGCTGTGCGGCGGGTGATCGAACTGCTCCCAATGAAACTGTCGAATTAACAATTGAGTGACACCAACAGTATGGGGCCGAGCATTGTCATGGAGCAACACAATTCCTTTACTGAGCATTCCTCTTCGTTTGTTTTGAATGG